GCCTGAGCCCGCGGGTTTGAGACCCGCTTGGGCAGCGAGACTTCATCTTTACAATAGATCAAAAAATCAGCCGGGCGTGTTAGCGCATGCCTGTAATTCCGGTTACTGGGAAGGCTGAGGCGGAAGGATCGCCGGAGCCCAGCAGGCGAGGTTGCGGTGGCCGGGAGCGGCCGCTGCACTCCAGTCTGGGCGACAGAGTGAGATTCCGACTCAAAAAAAAAAAAAAAAAAATCAAACAAAAGTCCAAACAGGAAACATAGGTTTCCTTACTCTTGGTCTCTTATTTGGTCCTGCCAGTCATACTCTTTTCTGCTTCTAAGGCATGTGATGTACTCCTCTTGGGTTTCTCCTGTAAGGTTTTCATTCCAGAAGCTCCCATGAGCCCTTGGGCATCATCAGTATATACATCTGCCTTGTTCATGCTCTCTCCTTAAATGCCAGTTAACTCTAGACACGGAGGACGGTCAAATGTGCTGGTGTCACCCTAAACAGTTTTATCTTCAAATCTCTTTCTACTTTGAGCTACCTTCTGCTTTTCCTTCTTCTGCCAAACTGGTAAAGGAAGTTCTAGGATGTTTCACCTGAAAACTGCTACACAAAAATCTGTCATGTGAGCTTTCATCACATGATCACGTGAGAGTCTAGTAACCCGAAGGAACCAGACAGAGACTTAAAGCCTGACCATCTCAGAAGTGGAAAGGAATCTGGGCTACTCTCATTCCCTTGAAGGCTGTCCAATCCCCTGCCACCCAAGGGACCACTGGATGGGCCCCCTGGCATGCCAGACTGTCCTTGGCGTCGCACCAACAGGGGCGTTGCTGGGGCCCATGCCTTCCGGTTCCCCCGCTCACCCTACCTCACCACCTCCTGGGTGGCCGTGCCTCCCCTCAATGGCCAACTTTTCCATAAAGACTGACCCCTGCCTTTCAGATTCTTACTCTCTCCCTTCCTGACCGCCACACCCTGAGAACATTCAACTTGACTCTGTCCTACACAGGATTCTGAGTAGGGGTAAAGCACCAAGCTGTGGAGCCAAAGTGCCTGAGTTCAAATTCCAGCTCTACACTGACTGGCTGTGGAATCTTGGGAAAGTTATTTAACCTCTCTGTGCCTCAGTTTCATCATCTGTGAACTGGGTAACTATGTGCTTCACAGAACCAACAAGGACAAGGAAAGCAAACATGCTATAGCTCTTTCCCTGGGACAAGCGCTGCCTAAGGGCTCACACATGTAAACGCAGTAAGTGACTTAACTGGGCCTGGCCCATAGGAAGTGCTCAATAAGGTTAGGGGCTCATGGCTTAATAGGTGAAATCTCTCAACAAAATTGCCAACCGGGAAGGAAAGACAATCTCCAAGAGGAGATGCTGCATCATCTGTGGACAGGACCTGGGCTCACGGGGAATAAGCATGGACTGAAGCAAACTAAACCCAAAGCAGAATTCCTAAATTATGACCTAAGTCCTCGGTATCAGAAAGACACCAGAGCTGAGTGGTAACCAACTTGGGTTCTGCAGTCAGCTACGTCCGGGGCAAGCCCTGCTCTGCCCCCCCCACAGCTGGCCATGTGGGCCTCCTTGCCGTAAGTTGAAGTCATAGAGGTATGATGTCCAGATGGGCCCCTCTGCTCAACCAGCTGTATGCTGATTGCACCGGGAAGTTTCCACCCTCAACAGCCCTTGCCCACCCACTTGCAAAGGATGATTCTGGTAGAAACCGGATAATGAAAGCCACAAGTAAATTGCAGTTAAACATGGGGACTGCCCACCCTGGGTTCACCTCCACTGGTGAGGTAAGGGCTGACTCACTGTACGTGTCTGGGTGTGGATCTATCTACAGATATGTAATAAGTACTCAAATGGGTCTAGCATTGATGAATAAGAGTTGGGGTCATTTCTGGACCTTCCAGAGTTACAAAATACTTTATAAAGGTGGTCCTAAGTTGCTCCATAATTTCGAGTCAGAAGAATTCCCTCTTACTTTCTAAGTCCCGTCTGCCATGTATAGCAACTGGGTCATCAGATAATTACAAGAGCAAAAAGCAGAACAGTGCAAATCCTGTTTACCCAAACAGCTCCGGCTCCTGTCTCTCATTCCCAGGTCATTAAACAGGCCACGTTTGGTCGCTTTCAGTCAGTGCCTAGAGCTGCTGAGCCCGTTCCACTCAAAACAAAACACAAGCTCCCTCCAGAGAAGTACCCCAGCTCCTCAGCTGTCCTCAGACACCCTCAGATCAACCCAGCAAAGCAGGGCTGGTGATGAGGTCACTTCTGTTTTCATCAGGTCAGCCTCATTCACTCTCCTCCTGGCCTGAGACAAAAGTCAAGGTGCAGCTGCTCCTGACTCTGCCTCTTTGGGGCTGAGAATGAGCCTTTTTCAATGGCTACTAAGAGGAGAGAGATCCTTCGTGCCCCCACCAGTCTGATACACCTCATTTTAGGAAGTGGGATGGAATGCAAAGGAAACAGATGAGGTTGGATTATGATCTAGTGGGGAGGCATCTGCCTAGTAAAGTCAAAATGCTTTTCTGGGCCCCGAGGCCCTGACACAGCAAATGCAAAATTAAACGTAGGAGGTGGCTTGGATCTCACACAGCATCGTTTGCAGAAACGTTAGGATGAGGGAGCAGCTTCCAAGGAAGTATGACCCAGGGCAACACGGGGCCCTGGGCCATCGGTAGAGTTGGGCCCATCACCCCAGGCAGACTGCAGTCCTTACACACCATTCCAGTCCAGAAGTTGCTACTGACAAACCCCAGGCAAATGGTTACCCTCCTCATCACAGAAACTAGCCATACATTCAACAGATAGGCAGGGACGGGCAGTGGGACAAGGGTTTGGCTGAGCTTATTAGGAGGAGAGGGAAGAGAGGACATTCTGTCCCTATCTGTCACACATGCTGCTCCTGGTACAGCTGTCATTCAAGGTCAGGCTCTGTAGGAATACGCCATGGTGTGGTGGGAAATGGCAGGCTGGCCAAATGCCCATGAGGGAGTCTCAAAGGTGAGTCCTCCACCAGCCAGGTGCAAATCTGAGTCACTTCATCTGGAGTCAGGGGTTACCAGAAAGCCAGTAATGTTTATGCAGAGAGGAGAGAGAGGAGGGAGGGAGGGAGATGGAAAGAGAGAAGGAAGGGAAGAAGAAAGCAGGGAGGGAGTGGGGACGGACATCCATTAGGGTTCGTGAACATGCTGCAACCATCCCCGCTCTGAACCTCTGCCACACACCCTTGAACCACAGAGCTGCCCCTCTCTTCCTGGCCTGTCCAGACCCTCCAGGCTCCCCAAGGCCTTCCAAGACATCAGTCCGACAATGTCTTCCCAAAGTACTTCAACCCCCAGGAACCGACCCTGCTTCTGGACCCTTGCCACCATGAAGGGTCACAACCTACTTGCAATCTCACACATGCCCCGAGTGAGCCCCGACCCATGTCCCAACGTGAGCCATCTGCCGCCCATTCCTTGACCAGCTCTCCATTGACCTGGGACATCTGCCTGCCTCTGTAAATGCTCTGAGCTTGGCAAACTATGCAATGACTCTCGTCGGTCCCTGCTTCTGACTGGGGATAAGACCTTGTACCCATGTCCCCGACTCCAGGCCTGGCCTTGCTAAGATCACGCATGGCGTGTTGGCCATGCCAGGATGACACATGCCTGCGCCTTCCCTTTGTTTGGCCTCAGCCTGGTCCTGGCCTGCAGGACCCAGCAGCCCTTAACTCTCCACGTGTCCCCTTCTTCCGCACAGTCCTCTGTATCTCACCACCTCCGATCTGAGACCTGCATGAGGCTCAGGGAAAGGAAGATAACGTGTGCCGACAAAGGCCGTCAGAAAAGGAACTCACCGGCAGATGCCCAAGGAGAGGCGTGATGCTGTCGGAAACATAGATGATGCTACCGTCTGTTGTCACTGCAATAATGAAGCCATCTAATGCCTGTGGAAAATGCAACATTTGAAAGCTCCTTAGCAATGCTTTTACAGAGGAGCATGTCACTGAAGCAAAGGATACTTTCATGACACTGGCTTTGTTTTATAATCCTCAGAACATTTCCATGAATAACCTCACAGCACTTTTCCGCCTTACACGGAGGATGGCTTCTTACCGAGAATTTGTCTAGTCTAGGAAAAGCGCTTGCAAAAGGCACCATGGGCTCAGTGAAAAATTTGACCCGTCAGTATAATAAAATAAAATTTAGCCATGGAAATTCCCTAAGTAGGTTTAATAATAAGCACACTATTCGGCTGAATCAGAGATGCCACCGTTACCATGAAAAAACATCAGCAATATTTTATGGTTCCCATCCTCCTACTCCCCACCCCCCTCACTCTGAGTTCAACAGGAAACATTTACCATAAGATATCAGACCTACTAGATGCGCTAAAAACAGAAAGTGGGTCTGCTGGTCATGGTAGAACTCTGTCTACCTCCACTGCCACAGGAGAAATACCTACTGAAAGAACTGTCTGTGAAGAACATTCGCATTATTCCACAGGGCTGGGTGGCTGTGGGCCGTTATGTAACTCAACCGGATCCACAAGAATTTCAGAATGTCTGAAAAATGTACTCTCTTGAAAGTGTCCACTGAGTGCCTACTTTGCACTAGGCATGCTTGCCTGGGTGCTCACAATACAGCAGGTTTAAGGTGGCAATGTTTTCTCATAAAGCGGGTACTTTTGCTGTTTTGCTTTGCGATTCTTTACTGAGATTTGTGTGTGCACGCTTGTGAGCTTTCATAAGAGGCACCTGAAAGTTGATTTCTAAAATTCGGAGTATGTAATTCAGCGGAGGGTGGGGTCATGCTGGCAAGTGGGTGCACCAGTGAGTTGGAGAATAAGAATGAAACCCGCCTCGCCAGATAACAAGTCTTTGTGGGATTACTAAGCTCAGGTGGACTTTCGCTGTAAACCTGTCACTGCTGTTTTACTGACTATATCTTCGAAATTCTCACAGCTGGGAATTTTTCTGCTTTGGGGGAAAAAGTGCGATATGTGTTTACAAGGCTCTGGAAAACATTTTGTAAGCACTACTCTAGATCTTCCCAGGATGTTGCTGAGAATCTGGATGGTCAAAAGGGCTCCCTTCTTCCAAGTTAGGAGGGTGTGGTTAAGCACAGGGCAGCAGGAACTGGAAAGAGGCCACTAACTGTGTTTGAAGGGCACCTTTGTAACATGCCAAAATGGGAAAAGAATTCTTTTCACCGAGAAAATTAACACTAGGCTCACTGATTATTTTCTACTGACACGTGGCAGGATTTGAGACTGAAAAATATATTAAAGCACTTTTATTAAAAGGCCCTTATCGCTTTGGATGACATCAGTGGTTCTCAAGCAGGGGCAATTTTGGTAATGTCTGGAGACATTTTTGGTTGTCACTACTGGAGTGGGTGGTGCTGGCATCTAGCACTGCAAAACATCCTAAAATGCACAGGCCAGCCCCCACAACAGAAAATTACCAGGTCCAAAATGTCGACAGTGTGAGGCTGAGAAATTCTGCATTAGATTTATGAGTTACGGTGAACAGAGAACCACATCCCACTAACTTGTATTTCTTTTCCCTTCAAGTATTTTTCTAAACTGTTTTAAAAATCATCTTTGCAGTCCCCTGGAGGTGAATGTTTTAAAGGGGTGAGGGCACTGTTGATGACGTTTAGCTGGACCTTTCTAGAAAAAACAGACTGGAAGGCTGGGGAAAGCGGGAGCGGTACAAATGGTCTTCTTGCACAGTGAGCCTATGTCCCTCTTGAATTTCTAAAGCAAGTGGGTGTTAAAAAGCTGAAGGTATTTATAGATAGAAGACAACTCTCATCAGCTCACTGGCATTTCCATCAAATGTACGAGAACTGCACTGAGTCACCGCTTTAAGAAAGCTTGCTATGGTTTTGGAAGTCCCATCAGCAGCATTTGGGAGCAATTCAGCAGTGAGTGACTGCCTAGCGACATGCCCCTTTCTATGGAAGGCTGATTTTGACAGGGATGTTTCCAAAGGTGCCATAATGGCCCAGAATTTTATACCCCCTCCACACCGGAGGGAAACGAAACCTCCCCTTTCTGCCAATTCCTGAATCCGATGGAACATTTTTGTGTGTTCTCTGGCACAACTTCTGGGCTAAGAGAAAAGAAGTCTGTAGCTCTTCTGAGTAAAATTCAGAAATTTCACCAACCCCCTAGTCCCGGTCAACAAGAAGCACTCTCTCTCCTTTCGAGTGCTCTCGTTTTCAAATGCTTGCAGCCACAGTGTTTACCAGCTTACACTTTACCAGTTGGCTGGAGTGAAGCCAGGACAGTTTTGTCTCGTCGAACTTCACAGCTACGGGAGTCCTCCTGGAGTCTGGTTTTGTGCCCTTCCGAGAGAACAGGGAAGAAGGAGGGACTCACACCCAGAGGGCACCAGCGGTATCCTGGGGGCACACTGGGTTCTCTGCCAGGCTCTGCCCGAATTTAAAAAAAGAAACATCCTTGCCACCAAGACATGGCGTCTGGATCCCCCACGTGATCTGAAATGGCTCTTGAAGAAAGGAAAGGGACGTGCAGGTGAAGAGGGAGCCCCACTAGGGAGAAGCCGCACCGCGGACAATGATGGTTTCATCCTGGGAGGACACGCCCCGCCCTCGCTGGTGTTCAGGCCACGGGGGCGGAGATGTCCAAGGGCTTCAGTAGTTACTCAGTACCAGGCCTACGTCGACAGAAGAGCAACAGGTTGGAAGGGAAGCCTAATGAAGTCAGAGACAGACCAGATGCACTCGTGGGTGGACTCACTTGGGGCGGGAGTGCGGGGAATGGCGACCCGCTGGTGTGCAGGCCTGATTTCAGATCCAGTTCCTTAATCTAGCATGATTTCTTTTCCCTGCACTTCAAGGAGTCCAGGCCGGGAACAGTGAAAGTGCATAAAGCCTATCTACACGGCCTAAAAATCTCCCTTGTCTAGGAATTCCAGTCTCCTGAATCTCAGTTCCCCTTTCCAGCCCCCAAATTTGTCCACTTTTAACTTTATAAATGCCTCATTTCCTCAAAGACTTCTGATACTTTGAAGCTCACTGGGATGGAAAAAAAAAAAGTTGCGCTACAGGCTCTTAAAAAAAAGGCTGATGCTATAGGGTTATGTGTTTTAACTACTTTTCCATAAGAATTAGAGGAGAAATCGATTTATGCAAATTAGCATAATGATACATTAATTCAACATTATATTTCACAAGCTGCTTTAAATTTAACGTACTTAAAAATGCGCTGCTTCTGCAGAAAGTTCTGTATTTTCTTTAAATATAGTTCACATGTAGATTTAAGTATCTTTCATCTTATGCAAATGTTCATTAATGCGTTTATATTTCATAATATTTGGACATCTTCATTCTGGCATTTTCTTACTCCAGTACTTTCTGTTTTCTGCACAGTTAATTTATGTAAATTGAAGTTTACATCAGTCTTATATAGGCACATAAGATGAGACAGAGCAAGATTTATGCCCAGAAGCCACTCTCCAGAGTGGTTTCACTCTGCCAGAAACCACTGGGCACGGCCAGCGACTCACTTCTTTTTGCTGAGTTTGTCTGTCCAGTTCTCTTCTCGGTCACGGTCCTGGACATGCCATGTCTGGGACTTTCTCTGTCCCCACTGCCATATCCATACATTCCCAGTCTTATCCCCTGGTGAGAAGATGGAGCACCTCGCTAAATGTTTTTGGAGAGTCTTATCCTCTGTCCTGAGGCATTTCACCCTCATGTCACACATATAGGATGCTGAGGAAGGCCACCCCTTCAAGTCAGCCCGCCCGGGTTTTCACAAGCATGGCCCTGTCGGTGAACAGGGCACTTGACCCAGAGGGAGACACGTGGACATGTCACTCAGCACAGGAAAGGCAGGAGCTGGATGTGAGGCACAGGGCCACTCTAGCTCAATAAAAGCACAGCTTTAAAAAGATGACTTTTCATGTCAAAATGTATCTCTACTAAGGGAAAAAATGCAATCATGTTGCAAAGAGGAGATTCTCTGAGCCAGGTGACAGTGGGGGCTGACATCACCTCCCCTCTGCCTACTTCTAGCCGGCTCCTCCCAGCTCTGCAACTAGGTGTCCTCTGGTTGTGAGACCACAAGGGGCCTGCCCTGCAGCCCACATCTAGCTTTGGGATTCTTGTTCACAGTACCCAATTTAGTAGCCAAAATACAGGCAAGAGCAGGCCTAGCCTCAGGAGGGTACTGTTTCAAGATCAAGTCTCTCCAGGGTCAAGAACAGTTGTTTCCTTTGGGCACAGGGTCATTATCTAGAATAAACAGCTACATTTTAACAGGCACCTGATTAAATTAATTTGAAAGTGCATTTCACCTCCAACATCAGCTGGGTAAATTCTTCATTACTGAGGAATGAAGGCTTCCAGTCCTGCTGAATATCACAGATTTCCGTTTGTGCTGAGACTTCTGGAAAAAAAACACACACACACAAACACACAGATAAGCTTTTGTATTCAATGACACCTAGAAATTGGAATTAACAGATGAAGCACACGTTACTTCTATGTAATTTTTTTTTTTTTGAGTTGGAGTCTCACTCTGTCACCCAGACTGGAATGCAGTGGCCACTTCCAGCCACCGCAGCCTCGACCTGCTGGGCTCCGGGGATCCTTCTGCCTCCGCCTTCCAAGTAGCTGGAACTACAGGTGCGTGCTACCACACCCGGCTCATTTTGATTTATTGTAGAGATGAGGTCTCACCAAGTTGCCCAGGTGGGTCTCGAACCCGCGGGCTCAGACAATCCACTCACCTCAGCCTCCCAAAGGCACGGGATTACAGGCTGAGCCACCGAGCCCGGCTACTTCTATGTAATTCTGTGTAAACCTCTGTGTGGTTTAATTTAAGAAGCCTGAACAAGAAAACATGTTACCCCAAATTCCAAGGACTGAGAACTGTGAATGTCATGGGCTTAAAACATTCTCAACATTCTCACACCTCTTTAATGAGGCTTTGGGAAGGAGACCACCCCACCCTCTGCATGAGTGTAGTCCCTGCCACTTGCAGGTGGCACAATGCCCTTGAATTTCTACATGACAAATCCCACTGTCAGAGGTTGGAACTTATAAAGGCTGCAGGAACAAAGCCTGAGATGGTGAGAAGCATAAGATGCTTCTTCACTGTCAGCGTGGAGCAAAACACTTCAGAGACCAGGGTTTTCAAAATTCCAGAAACATCTTAGGCTTGTGATAAACAACCCACTGTATTATGCAGAATGCACCATAATTTTCAGCATTCCCATTACTGAAGTATAATATTTTATACAAGAACTATAATGAACTATAATGTGCAATACACAGAACTTGCTTGTCTCAAAACATTTTTGGGTTAACCTACAGTTTACTTGTTTTATGTACTGAAGACGCTATTCACATCTGTAAATTCAAAATAGTCATCAGCCTATGTGAGGCTCATTAAATATGCTAGTTCTTTTACATTTTTAATGAATATTTTGTGCCGGATGCAGTGCCTCATGCCTGTAATCCCAGCAATTTGGAAGGCAGTGATGAGAGGATTACCTGAGCCCAGGGGTTTGAGATCAGCCTAGGCAACTTGGTTGGGCAACCTCGTCTTTATAATAAATCAAAGAATTAGCCAGGCATGGTGGCACGTGTCTGTGGTTCCAGCTACTTGGAAGGCTGAGGCAGAAGAATCGCCTGAGCCTAGCAGATTGAGGCTGTGGGGGACATAAGCATGTCACTGCACTCCAGCCCAGATGATAGAGAAAGACTCTTACTTTAAAAAAAAAAAAAAAAAAAAGAGTATTTGGGTCAGGAGTGGCAGCTCACACCTGTAACCCCAGCACTTTGGGAGATCAAGGCGGGAAGAATGCTTCAGCCTAGGCATTTAAGACCAGTCTAGAAAACAGTAAGACCTGTCACTAAAAAAAATAAAAAACATTAGCCGGGCGAGGTAGTGTATGCCTGTAGTCCCAACTACTCAGGAGGCCGAGGCAGATAGATTGCTTGAGCCCAGGAGACCGAGGCTGCAGCTGAACCCTGATTTTGCCACTGCACTCCAGACTGGGTGACAGAGTGAGACCTCAACCCCCCCCCAAAAAAAGAATACTTTGTCCTATTAGTAAATTATCTTTGATATGATTATTACAGATAGTTCAAATTTGACATCAAATGTACTTGGTGCTCCTTCAGTTTATCCTTCATCTTAAACCAACATTTTGCTCTACTCTATGTAGTAAGAGATGTCTTCAAGGATTATTTTCCTGGTGCTAGGAAAAATGTAAGAACCTAAGACTTACACCTCAGAGAATAAAACTAACCTGTTAAATAACTTCCTGGAGAATGCAAATTGTTCAGAAACAACTTTAAACCACGAAAAAGATTTCTAGGCTCTCTTCATTGCGCCTGTGTTTTTGGTAATGAATTCTGGAATCTGAATGAATGAATTTGAACGTATGCAGTGGTTATTCATGAACACAGAGGATGTGATGAGCTGAGTTACACATGTAGCTCTGTAAACCTTCATTCATTCCATCACCCAATGCTCCCAACAAGGCTTGGCTCTACTGAGGCTTCTTCTTTTGAGATGTCAGAAAGAACAAGCTACTGTTGTTGTTATGCAAAATTGGACATTTATCTTTGCAATTTTAAAAGCGCACAGAATGACCACTAATAGCCTTTGGTAGTCGAACACAGGAAGAAACCCAGCAGAGGAAACCATGCCAGCAGTCAGGCAGCTAACAACATTGAAATGGCCTGTGTGTGGGGAAATCAGTGCAGGGCGCCATGATTCACAGGTGAGGTGCATCATGGGAGGCAGAGGGAGGGTGCTACACACAGATCTTGGCCAGAAATCATTCTGCGGTTCTGGCTGGGACGAGGAAGAGCGGGTGAAACTCCTAGTTCTTCAGGTGGCTACCACGGTTTGACCACTTAGAGAAGAAATGGACCAAAGACGCGCTACAATATTAACACCACAAACGCCTTCCTCCTTCTGCTCACCATCCACCCTCATCTGTAAGACTCTTCCAACCATTAGGATCAACTGTAGATTGTCTAGGGGAAGAGTCTTTACTAAGGCAGCCCAAACTGCATCTAGAGAGAAGTCTGTTTGATTTAATTGCGATGGAAAATGAAAGACCCGTTTTACATAAGTAATTTTTAGATCATTCTGTACGTCTGGATGTTTTCTCAATACCAGCACAATAATCCTGAAAGCAGCCATTTCATTCACTTTGTATTTCAACAATTCAATTATATTCCTTGGAAGTTAAGGGTCCACTCACAGCATATTAAGATAAGTTCGATGCCTCAAAGTGAGGAAAGAAGTCACTAGGAAGGAACAGTCAGTGTTATGATCATGTCTCCACTGGCATTTGATGTGACTAATGCCAGAAACTACAAGTGACAAGGGGCAGGATGAGCAGAGAAATGGTCCAAGTAATTTCTAATTTTGAGGGAAACAAAACCAACTGGGAGTCATTTTTGCAGGAAAACACTATGATTAACAGTCAACCTTCCAAATTCTACTCTGCTATAACTTGCAGTTATGCCCTGGAGTGCTCAACTCCCAACTGCTCCTGGTATTACCTGAATACAGAGCAGTGTATCTGCAGGCTGTATGTGGTCTGGAAAATGGGGCGGAGACTTTATTGCTGGGGTGGGTCCATATTATTCTGTTCAATAGGGACATTTGTTCTTGTTTTGCAGCCCTCCCCATCGAACCCCTATCCACAAAGACAGACATATTGAAAAGGCATGAAATGAGGAATGGGGTTTGATGTTGGGAGAAACTTTCACGAAATCAGCCTGAGATTCCCTCCAGCCTGGCCCTGCAGAATTAACATTTAGATGGATAAGGTTGTCTACTATGCCCTGCTATTTATATATGAGGGGGATCCCCAAAGATCTGGAATTGTTTTTTGGAGGGCAGGCTCCTTGTAGTTCAGGCGTCCCCTGCTAGGTGAGTTTTAGGAACCCAGTGGCATCAGTGTACCAGCTAGCGTCGCTATGAGAGGATGCGTTTGGCTTCAGTGAATTTTTTTTATTTTTATTTTTGGAGATTCTTTCCATGCATTTTGCCCATTTCATGATGGGTGACTTATGAGCACACCTGCCCACGCCACGCTGAGTGTTCAGCGGTTTTTGAACAAAAATAGATGATCCCCGTGCCTCCCCCCATTCACCCCATCTTGCCCTGCATGTCTTTTTGTTTCCTCAGATGAAAAAAAGTCTTCAAAAGGAAACATTTTGCCGATGTGGAAAAGGAGAAACAAAAAACAGCAGAAGCACTAAAAGGCATCAAAATTGACAAGTTCAAAACTGTTTTTAAGTAGTGAAGAAAGCGTTTCGAAGGTGTATTGCATCAGAGAATACTTTGAAGGTGACTGAAGTTTAAACATGTAAGAATACATAATTTTAGCCGGGCTCGGTGGCTCTGCCTGTAATCTTGCGCCTTTGGGAGGCTGAGGTGAGTGGATTGCCTGAGCCCGTGGGTTC